TTTAGGTTTAATCTAGGTTCTAAAATAACCAAAGAGTAAATGGACTTCCACTTTGGGCTCAAAGAAAACAGTTGTAGTTCGCTTGAAAACACTTAAAAACGAAGAATTTGTGAAATATCCTGCTCGTCGTATCTGATTCTTATGGATCCAATCGTTTTGGGCACGTTCTACTCCCTTTTTCTCCATACCAACTTATTTTGAACAATTTTCGTCCCTTCCTCCCTTTTTATGGCCCTTTCCCTTTTTTTTGCAAAACAGTTTTCTGTCAAATTAATCTTATATATTCTTCGAGACATGACAAAGACATAAACGAGACAAAATAATGGCTTTTGGGAATACAGATTAAATATATGATATTTATGCTTGCCGCAATTGCCGTGGAGCCAAAAATCGCGGTCCGGAAAGGGGTTAATAGTTGACGTTCAAGTTTCTGTAATTATGGTTGTTGAAGATTTATACTTGCCTTTATTTCCTTACTGTAAGCCATGTGTCATGGTGGCGATATAATCAGGAATAAATACTGCGTTCACGTTTGTGAATAAGTCAAGTGGCTTCGATAGCCAATACTTTTCATGTGAGAAAAAATCCTGGTTCTATCTTCGGAAAATATAGTTAACTGATCGATGGAAAACAGCTATACACGGGCTACCTCCAACTAAACGGTAATAGTGTCACGTAATGTAATAGCTCACAATCTCAAGTACGAAGCTTAAAAATCTGCAAAATGTAAAAAATATAACATAGCATCCAAATCTTTGTTTAAGATGCTATAAATAACAATCATGGGATCAAACGTCCCGTAAACTAAAATCCTTTGCAATAATTTGCATTTGTTACTAAGGTCCGACACTAAACCTATTCTGACGCTCACCCACTTTCTTTCCACGATTGGCGCGCGCGGCGTACCGCGGCCATCATAGTGCCCGCCGAAACGTGTGGTTATGCTATCAAATTACCCCCACACAGCGCGGCACTATCGACTGGGCCGGTTGCCGCGGCCGCGCCCCAAATCGTGAAGAAAGTGGGGGAGCCTTATTCTGCACATCATATTTTTAGTGATCACTCACAGCAGGGTGAATATCGGTCGAGGAAATCCTCGACAGGGGGGTCGTACCTGTTGGGCTGGTCCATGGGGGGTCGTACTCTTGGGGGTCAGTAACAGAAGTGGTATCATGGTGCAGATAGGTAATAGGGTATAGCGCAGCAGAAAATGAAAACATCCGAAAAAAAACATGATATTAAATTTTCTTTGCAGGTTCAGTCGCTCCATTCCTCCACCTTCATGAGAAGGGCGTATTTGAAGGCAGTACAAAGAATGAAAGTGCATCCCCGCAAAGAAGAGTGCCACATGTGCGCACGCGCTGCAAAGGCACCTCCTCTGCCTATCACTCGCTCCTTCTCCCTTAATACCTCGCTGAGAATGACACTGTTGTTAGGGACCCTGTCGCAAAAACGACAACCGTGAAGAAAAAGCGCTGGGCAAATGAAGTTGTTTTTAGGTTACAGGAATAGCACAACACACTATGTCTACTACAATACAGTTTCGTTCGAAGGTCCCCATCATATAACACCTTTCAATCGATTCTGCAACTGTGAGTGGAGGAGGGATGCATGGCTTATACCAATACCAAATCGGATGATGACGATTGCTCCTATTCTTGTTTGCCAAAGCCTATTGTTCCTAGACACTATCCCGATTTCAACCCGATCACACTGCAATGTAATAAGAGCGGATTTCCAGGTGGCCGGATCCGACCTCGATAGATCCTCGACGCAATTATCTCTTCAACCAAAAAGCTGTAGAAGAAAACTAAACAGACCATCAGGAAGCGCAAACCTTCCGCTTTCCAAAACTATCTTCCCTTTTTCAGGATCTTACAATATAAGAGATATATTGCTCTTGAAGTGGCAAAAACTCGCGTGAAAATTTCGGCCTCCTCGACATTTACTCGACGAAATTTGACAGACCCTATCTTTCTGCAAGGAAGGCTTCCAGAGCAATTTCGATGCTTGTTGGAAACGCGAAATCCAGCTCTATCTAACTCTACCTCAAGCTGCTTCAAAGGTTGTGAAATGGAGGAATGCAACCTTTTCATCGAGGGTGTAGATTCGGACGTTTTTTTTTGAAATTTCGGCAAATCTGACCCAGTGACAATCGCGCCGCAGCTGCCGTTGAATCGGCCTTTGATACACTCGGCTGTTTTGATATACTCAAGCAAGAATCAAGATTGAATCGCAACCCCGTGTCTTCAGGATTTCTGTGCGTTTCTGAACGAACCTCGCCTTGAGGTCACACAAAGTTAATGCCTCTTTCCTCGAGTCGATATTTCAGTATGTACACAAAAGTATGCAGCGATGGGAGACGTGCATAGATGACAAGATGAAGCGTCCTTAGCATTATTTTGCAGAATTTTTTTGATTGTTTTGATTTTTTTTTGATTTTTGTTTTGCAGGATTTATTTTAATTGAATTAATTTGCTCTGTTAGGGGGGGTCGTGCCAGGATCTCGATTTCGGGGGGGGTCGTACCTCTGCGACCACGTACTCGACACGATTTTCACCAGCTGCCTCCAAATAAGCAATCTATATAATTGCAGTCCACAACCATTTGACGAATGTGCGCGCAACAACAATTTATGCTACGGCCCGGCACGAATCACGGTATCTCCCGTCTAGCCCCGAATCGGCAGGCCGAAGGACATATCCCCCTCAATCGTTGCGTGCCTCTCCCACGTAAAACGCTCGGGACATAGCAATGACTGGGACGGGTACCACCTCCCCCTGTTGGTTGTGGAGCATAGCATACTCCTCTGATTCAATCCTCTGGGGGACAAAAAAGGGTTGCGTCATAGGACCTAGCATACCTCTGTGTTTCTACCTGCCAGACAGTTAGAGCAGCGCTACTACCCTCCACTGATGAAGCACTCTTTCCCCTGAGGGGTCGCGCTGCTCTAACTGTCTGGCAGGTAGAAACACAGAGGTATGCGAGGTCCTATGACGCAACCCTTTTTTGTCCCCCCAGAGGATTGAATTCCCGATGACGCAACCCTTTTTTGTCCCCCAGAGGATTGAATCAGAAGAGGGGGATATATCCCCCTGGGGGAAGGATTGAATACCGCCCCAGCACAGTTCGTGGGCACCTCGGGTGCGTTTTCAACGGTTCGCGGGCACAATCGACTCGGCCGCGTTCGCCGCGGCCGCGCCCGAATGGTTAGGTATTGTCTGGGAGCCGTGTTTTTTGGCAAGAATCTTTCTTTTTTCGTGTGAATCATTGCTTTTCAACTGTCCTAGAATGGTTAGGTTCATACAGTGTGTTTGAAAGTGGCAGTAAGCCCAAGTGAGTTCATTAGTAAGCAAAAGCAGTAATCCATACAAAAAGGAAAAGTTCAAGTTAAACAATCGCAAGAAAAAGCCAGATGCCACGTCAGGTTATTCTCACCCAAACAGCCTGTAGCAAAATGTCAAAAACAAAAGTTAGAAGTGATATTCAGCTTCATATCTAGAACACGACTCGCCGCTAAACTTACACGGGAAAAAACGGCGGACGAGTTTCCGGACGAGTTTTTCGCGCCGCCACTGTTTGAATTCTAGGCGACAGTGCATTTCGTTGCGACAAGGCGTACTGTCCTTCAATACCAATCGATCGGGGATCATACTTCAGAGTTTGTGCACAGAATGAGCGGGGAGGCCCCAGCTGTAAGGAAACGTCAAGTTCGCCGTCGCAATCGAATAAATCACTGAGCTGCCAAGATATTCCCCCTGTTCAACACATTTTCCATTTCCTCCTCAGAAAAGAAGACTGAAGATTTTTTGTGTGTCAACACATTACGATACTCCTTAATACCAAGTTAGAGTTGGCAGCTATAGGTAATCGGTAGTGACTTCTACGACTATCACTTAAACTAAGCAATCGCTCTTGAGGACATAATCAAGACACGGAAAGCTCGTATCGTGATTCATTACTGCAAAACTGCGACCTCTTCCAAGTAATCCAAGCATTTTAAAACGCCACCGCAAGCGTTGGCAGTGCACAAAAAATCGCGCTAAACACATGCTTGTTAAAAACAGGACAAAGCTTCATTTAGGCGGGGAGGGGAGACTCCTTGGAGAGCAGGTCCCATTTTCCCTGAAATTCCTACCACACCTATGCTTAGTCCCGAAGGACACTCCTGCAACTTGCGATTGCGTTCATATTCATTTGTTGGTTTCATGTCATGACTGCATTGAAAGATTCTATCGCATGATAAATATCGATGATGAAAGTTCGTCATACTAACAGAGCAACTGCTTACCATCTGGTGTCGCGATATTGTAAAGGCTAGAATTCAGAAGGACTTTAAATCAGCGACATATGTATTGCTATTGGTAATGCTAGTGAATGTGTAAACGAACACATCCTTCGCACTAATCATACCAACCTATGCCGAACTTGAACTCATACAGCGCAAATCCGTACCATAATAGCTTGATCCCAGGTAACGAAATTGTGAGAATCATTTGCAACAGAATTGTATCCCGAAGCTGAAGTATCGTACCACACAACTCGTGCTCTTCATTCCCAATAATATTTTTGATTAATTCCGCACTCGAATTCAGATGGACGATCTCATTGGCATTGAAGGGTCTAGGCCTTGGTCCCACAACCAAATGCACTGTTCGCCTAGAATTCAAGAGTGACGGCGCGAAAAACTCGTCCGGAAACTTGTCCGCCGTTTTTTCCCGTGTAAGTTTAGCGGCGAGTGGCAACACGCAAGGAAATAGCTTGACTTCCGTTTCGCACGTGTCCTTTAAACGGAAGTTAAGCATGTGAAATATGTAGCCTATCTCGTGTTCATCACTAAGGAATTTCACCCAAACAGCCAGTAGCATAGCAGAATGTCAAGATGTTCGAAAAACAAAAATAATCTTTGGTTTTTGCCCTATTTCTAATTTTTCCGCTGCTGGCGCACCATATACATACCCATTTCCATACTACCAACAGCTATCGTGCTCAGCGCCTTAATGGAAGGTGTGAACAGAAGTAACGACGCGCAGTGACTTCTGTTGTACACACCACGTGTTTTGTGTCAAAATCTTGCTGACTTAGTTTCGCCTATGGTGGCTTTATTCAGTCGTTAAAAGAGTCACGTTAAGTTGAGCATTTTATTGTGGCATGGTGAATAATACGAGATTTTTTGCGATGCTGTCAAGAATCACTATTTAGTGACTTTTCCCGAACCGAATAGGGAGAAGTACTATGCGGTCGCACGTGGTTACGCAGTTGGGGTATTCACTGACTATGAGGACGTAAAAAAATCTGTACGTGAGTCTTCTAACACTAAAATTATTGGCTTGATAAAGTGCTTGCAGACAGAAGACTACCCTCAGCCATTGCACAAGAAGTTTGATAACTTGGACGAGGCGGTATCATATTTCAACAAATATTTCCGTGGAACTGAAAAAGGTGCTTCCAATAGAACAATATGAACGTTGTACTCATTCCATGCTGCCAGTTCTAGAAGCCCTCAATGCTATTGAAACTTTTCAATTTACAATTTTCAGGAGAGAATGGCAACCAAGAGAAGGTCAAGCCGACTGAAGTAGCTCTGAAAAAGAGAGAGGAGAAAGGTGTGACATATTACGCAGTGGCTAGAGGGCATACGACAGGAGTGTAAGTCGCTTACAGTGTAGAATAAGATTGCTGGCTAAAGAGCAAGTAACACTTGGTTTTCAAAGACTTTGACGTTCGTAATGTGGAGCCGGGTGCAGCAAGCCCCAACGAGGGGATCGGGGCCCATCCCCTCTCCCCGAGGTTGGGGATACGTCCCCAAGGTTGCGAATATATCCCCAACTTCGGGGATAATCCCAACGCGGTATCCCCAACCTTGGGGACATCCCCTCGTTGGGGCTTGCTGCACCCGGCCCGTGCACTCACACTTTCGACCGCGAGTGCAGCTCCTTCATTAGTCGAAGAAAGAAATTTATCCAGTTTTAGCGGATGATTCCTCATCTACCTGGTTTAAGGTTCACTTCATGGGAGGAGTGCAAAAAACAAACAACTGGCTTCAAAGGTGCAAAGTTTAAGAAGTTTGACAATGAGGAGGAAGCGACTATGTTTGCTGAAGGGAAAACTCTCAAACAAATAGGTGGGTTCCAATACTATTTCGGTTAGAGTTCGAATAGATGCATTGTTTGGGATTACAACAAAAAAGTGATAAATTTAGAAGAGGCGAAGTCCAATCGCAAGCGTGAGGCGGCCTCTTCTAGTGGAGCTGACACCCCAGAACCGCAGAAAAAGCAGAAGAAGTGATATATAAAAGTTCTGTTCCAGTATGTTATTCGTTTCTCCGATTGCGGTGCCCGGTCAAATTCGTATTTTTGATTGCCCCACGCTTTATATGTCTAGTGTTGAACTATGAAACAGGATATTGCTATCGCGGCAGAAACGGCGATTTAGCCGTCGCAGGTGCCCTATCCACGACTGACGTCTCCTTACCTTTCAGTTCTGCTATAGTTTGCTTGCTACCTCCTGGCTGAAATGTTGGCATAAATATGTTACAATGTATTGCTCTAATAAATATATTTTCACGTTCTGGGTTGTCGCTGCAAAGTGGTGCGCTCCCTTTCATATCAAAAACAATCTGCGTCTACAGGTGACTTGAAATATCAGTCTTTCAATTACTAGAATAATAACATTTTTCTGCATTTCTTCTCGCTACGTCAGAATTACTTCTTCTATCAACAAAATCAGATTTCTTGGTTTTGATTGGGCCCTGCCACGAAAAGGGATGTACGTCGATTCAAATGCTTTCCCGATTTTGGAACACTGGTGTCGTGAACTAATCAAGCCTAGCCTTCATAGAGATACTATCATGTTATTTTTTGAATGTTATTATTGCTGAGCTGCGGACGGACATGCGGCTACGATTATTTCAAGAATACAATGCTATGCATTGTATAACAATACAAAGTTCCATGTGGCTCATCTCTTCGTTAACACATTGAAGACAGCGAGGCGACAATGCATGTCACACCTACTAGATTTTTTTGCATATTCCCGATTTCTTCCCAAGTTTTTTGTGTTCATTCTGTAGGCCACACATCAACAACCCTACTATACAGGGTGGACTTAAGGATAAAGGATAAAGGATAAAGCATTTGCCGTTGATCAATCCCTTTTTGGGATGCGGCACGCATTCTACTTCCATTTGTACATTCGTAGTGGCGTTTGAATGCGATGTGGCCTATACAATGACTTGCGGGGCCAGCCGATGTACAAGTCAGTGTTTTTATCCTCCCAGAGGCAATAAAAAAAGACATTTTGTCTCCAGACTCAAATGGATTTAATCACACTTTGCTCAGCTCAAAGCGTGTGCTCCCAACTTAGAATTGAAGAGCGCATTTCATTTCATAAGAAAATCTTCATAGTGGCCATCTACGTGGACGGCATCAGAAAATTTGCCCCGGAAACATGGTGCTCTGGTCGAGCTCAATGGGGTTCTCGACT